TGCACTCATGTTACCGTGTCAAATAACATAAAACTGACCTTTGGTCAGTACAAAGTAAGTTGTCTTGGCTGTGTATTAATAGACTAGTATTTTGTAAAATACAGTCATATTTCAATTATTATACATATGTATATATGTATATAGATTATTGCTATTTGGAAATAAGTTCTTAAACTTATTTTTCTTAAAACATAGAACAGTAAAGAAGTAAAGCAAACAATTATATCTTCAAGTTACAACCTTTGTACTCGGTTGCTGCTTGATGTAGGTTGCTAAACCTTTTACAATTTCGAACGTGGAGGCTATGAAACAAAAGAATTTTTTTAGGTTTTATATATATACATTTGAATAACTAAAAAATCATAAATTACTACATCAATAGCATATTATTCCACTATAATTTATCAAGCTTAGTAACTAAGATGTATTTTAGTCTAAAAAAATATGAAATTTCAAGCAGATCAAAGACACACCCTACCTCCTTGAAATCTTGGTTCAAAAGAAAGAAATGGCATCCTAAGAATTTAAAATGGCTGAGAAAGCCACTAAGAAGGCAGTCTGTTTCAAAATGTGTCCAGACTCAGAAATCACTAAAAGATATGGGTGTTGTAGAACAAAAAAACCTCTGCAGTAATTGGAGAAATGGCAAGTAGTGTAACTGAATAAATTGTGAGTAACAGTAAAACTAGGTCTTTCAACTTGTCCACTGATGGCAGTAATGACATTGACAGTAAACTGTACCCTGTTGTAGTGACATACTTCGATGACAACAAGAAAACATGCATTAATTTCTAATCCCAATTTAATTAAAAAATCAACTAGTAAGAATACTGTAAAACTGTTTGAAGAAGAACTGACCTCAAAGTCCTTTAAGTGGGAAAATTGTGTATCATTAGCTGTTGACAACACATATATGATGATAGGGAGAAAAAAAAAGGAGTTGTAGGTTATCTTCTCAAACTTATGTAAGATCTATTGACCAAACTTGACCTCTGCTTATATCCTATCACCTGCTGACACCATTTCCCTCACATTAAATCCCTATTATCTTTGTAATGATATATAAATCTTGAATTGCTTAGCACTAATCGTACCTGAAGAAGACAGAGCAATGTTCTGTCGAAACATGTAGTATGATTCACCATCAATAAAACTTTTTCCTTATGCTTTTAAATTGTTGTTTGCCTACCTATTATCATATTAGCATAACTTGCTTCTTTACTCAAACCAAATATGATATAAGGAAAAAGATGAAGAAAAACAAAACAATCTATGTGAAAGTAAAGTCTGTTCCATACAGATCAGTTGTATCAGTGGTGAAAGAATGATTGTTTAGAAAAATGCAAAGGAAAAACTTCCAAGCAGAGGCAGTCTGTCAATGTGTTTCCAAGGCAGGGATCTGGATCTTCTATGGATGGTTTCTCTGAGAAAGTAGCAGACAAAATTGCAAAGGCAAGTGAGAAAGTACAGGACACACTTGACATCAAATCACCAGGAAACACTTATTTGTGAGAGGAAAGACTTTACAGGTTACTTACATCAAGGTGATGTGTTGTATATACACTATTTTTGAACAATTGTATTCAAATCTTTGATAAGTATAATTTGAAACTTCTGAGGCCCCATTCATCCATTTCATGCAGAGAATCCTGTTTGCAATTTCAAATTGCTCAAACATTTTGGATTTGAATTTCAAAGACATAAAACTTCAGTTAAAAAATGAGAACTTGGTAATTGGTTATGAAATTGAGCCTTTCCTTACAAAGCTTGATAAAGGTAGCCAGCTGTCTTTCTATGTAGATGTAAGAAATTACTATAAAACTAAATTGGAATATATGAAGGCCAAGGCCCCACTTCAGGACACAACTTTGAAACATGCAGACATATCTGTCAGAAAAAGTTGTTCTTTGGAATGAGTAGATTACTTTGTTGGAAAATTCAAGCCATTCATTGCAAGAGTTGCACCTTGGGCCAGTACAATGAATTGTTTACAGCAACAAGTTCTCACCTACCAGGCTGATCCATTGACTGGTGTAGATCTCAGTGAGCCAGCAGACAAGTGTTGGTACAGTATTGGAAAAATGAAAGATGAGCTGGGCAACTTTAAATATGATATTTCCAAAGTAATAAAGTCTATCCTTCTAATACCAAACAGTAATGCAGATTGTGAGACGGTTTTCTATCCTGTTCACAAAATCAGGAAAGACTTTTGAGGATCAATGTCAAACTCCACCTTAGAACTAGTGCTGATACAGAAGATGGAGGTGGCACAAAAACAGTGTTTCCCTCAGGAATTTACAGATGATTTCCCAAAGAAAGCCAAAAGGGCTACTTATTGGGCTCCTAATCAGTAGTAAACTGTAACTAGTAAGTATTAAATAAAATAGAATTAGTAGTGACACCATTTCTGTTCAAATTTTTTTGCTATTTTTCCCTTGTTCTGGTAGAGATTACTGTTTTTTAAAATTTAATGTTGGCAGGTCTACAATGGGTGCATCCAGCACTATAATTTTCAGATTTGCTAAGTAGCCACAGGGATTTTTTTCTCTGGATGCCACTGTTTCTGTCATTTTACTGAGTGCAAGAAAATACCTCTAAGAAAGTGTGTACTTTTTGGCACTTGTAATTTCTATAAGAAGTGTCAAAGAGGAGATATTCAATTGAATTTATTCAACATGGTACAGTAAGATCATGCATGTATATAATACCAACGTGAAATATGTATATAAAATGAAGAACAACAGATATATACTCAAACACATTCCTCTCTGTAAGCATTTTTTCTGTTCATATTCTTAACTTTGAAATATTTCTGTCAATCAATTGACAGAGGAAGTCCCATTTTTTCATGAAATTCCACTATGAAAAGAAACATTTTTGTTCTTAATAACTTTTTCTCGGGTTGAACATTCAGCACATATGAAGACTGTGGATTGGTGTTGATATGAAATTTTAGGAATTGTAAAAATGAATAATTTTCCTGTAATATGTTCTTGAAAAGAAACATTTTGATTTTGAATTCTTTTTTCTGGAGATACAGAGTATGACATTACAGACACTTGGCTATTATATATATATATAATAGAAAATACATCAATATATATATATATATATAGAGAGAGAGAGAGAGAGAAAGATTATAACTATGACTACTAGAACCATATTGGTTAGTTATTTATAAAATGCAATTTTAATAGACAAGAAAGGAAGAAGGGTGTATCAATATTACAATTTGAACTGAACAGGAGGACAATAAAGTTCATAATTTAGTATCATATATTGATATCAAATAGTAACTAAACAAGAGTGGAGGCTGGGTGATGTTCTTTGATAGAAATAATGGGCAGTATATTCTATTTTTATGATTTTTAAAGGTGAAGGTTGGATGATAATATTTTTATTAGAAATCTCGGGTGCTTGATAATATCAGATTTCTGTTTTTATATTTCTAATGGAAACTATCATGTCCATAACTGCTTATAGATGGCGAGTGGTAGTGGGATCTGAGACCTTGTGGGTTCTATCACCTAGATCCTAATCTCTTATTCAGTCTGTAGCTTGCTTTCTTGTTTTGATTATGTCAGATAGACAGAAATTTCCAATGTTTTTGGGTGCTATGGCTGCAGACATTTTCACTTGAAAATGATACCATTTATTCTGTTGTATAAATGGTATAGTTTTGCACTGTTTTGTTATAGTTTTGATGGCATGATCATGTATTTGTTGGCACATAAATCTACTTTAGACATATTGTATTTTTACATGATTATCTCATCAAGGCTGTGCAGAGCTGAGTAATCGCTGCACATTATTGATGTATTGCAGATAAATGTGAGATACATATATATATATATTTCTGTTTATTTTACTTATTTTTAGTTGATAGACATGGAATTACACTATAATATATCTCAGTGGCACAGGTACAGATAAACCTTAACAGGCCATAGCCTGTCTACTCAGCACTCAAGCCTATCTAACCAGAATTTGCTTGATGGTTCCCATGTCTGAATACATCATTTTTGTGATTTTTTCTTTCTAGCTCATTATAACATGTCTCCAAGGGTTTGTAAATCTCCTGTGAGTCTATCGTACCTTTGTGTCCTTCAAAAGTTTTGTACCTGATATACTCACTAACTGTGACATTTCTTGAAGAGTTGTGATTTTTCAACAATAGCTCTTATTTTCCATTATTTATTCATGTGTATAATAGTCACTGATGCTGTTGTATTGAATAAGATAGTGTTTTATGTGGTTTTAATTGAAAAGTCAGTATAAATGTTAATAAAAAGGGAAATGTTTATCACTGATTGATTGGATAGGAGAACATTTAAAAAAATCACAAATTATTAAAATGAGTCATAAAGTCATACATAAAAATTTGCTAACCTCATTATTTAGTGAAGTTGATAACTTAATTAGTATGCCAGTGTGTAAGCCTAGTATGATTTGGTGGGTAGGGCACTTGATTTGCAATCTGTTAGAATCCCATCATTAAACAAGCTTGCTCTTTCAACCATGGTGTTGTTAATATGTGATGGTCAATCTCAAAATCCAAGTTGTGAGTTTTTATTAATATAGGTATCATGTAATATGCAATTTATGTATGAGAAAGTAATAATAACTGATGTATAATGTAGTGTATCATTGTTTGTTAACAGGTGCTTCCATCTGTAAGAGTCAAATAATGCTAGATTGGTTACTCAAAGATGATGGATTAAAATTGCTTAATGAGATATTGATGTTTCTTTGGTATTAGAACATAATTTTCTTCAGTAGTAGGCTTATTCTGTACAATATTTTAAGATATCAAACATTTAGAAAGATTAAAACATCTTGTGACATTAGACAATCTGTGTAACACTTTTATTTTAGATTTAACATTAACATGCCAAAATTGCTTCATGTAATCACGTAATTTCTCTGATGTTAACCATTTTATTATTTTTTTTAATGAATTTGAAAGTATATATATATTTATTTATAACTATGTTCTTCAGGCTGCAGCTGGACTTGGCTTGTTTTTCTGAACCAGTCATTCTCTGCTCTAAGTTTTTAGACGTTATCAGCAAGTTGAAAGACCAGGCTATTACTGATAGAAAAGAGCAAAATACAGAGGAAATTACATTGTTTAAATGGTCATGTCATTGTAGAGGTTAGATATTTTATTTATTATGGATAAGTGTAATTAAAAGGAAAAAATGTGTGTATCATGTTTACTGATTTGCAATTTTCATTTGTGTATATGTCACAAGCCTAAAAAAAGAAATTTATATGTAATTGAATTGTTCTTTTAGATGATATAGAATTATTTTTTTGTGTAGTGACTTCATATGACAAAAAATAAACTTTTAAATTATTTTACAAATTAGGTAGACTTACCCCTGAAATACTAAAATCCTTTCCTTGTTGAATTAATCTCATGCTGTCAACAACCATTCTCTCCACTCTCCCACCTTCCAAACTTGCTGTGAAGAAACCAGATGAACATCATAACTGCTCTTTGTTACATATTTCATTAAATACTCAGGGAAGTTGCAATGTGGGTTAACTCTAGTGACATAAAAAGGAATAAGGAAAACCATGTTAAAATTGTCCATGTGTTACCAAAATAAATGCAATAACACAGACATCCAGGCAACCTCCTTTTCAACCTCTATAACAGCTGTTATATACAAGTATTCCCTAATGGAAAGCTTAATTAAATTGTATTTAACACAGTTTAGAATGATAAAAACAACCAACATTCTAAAGAAAAAATATAATCACAATAGTCAAGTTAATAGGAATAATGAATTGAAAGTAAGACATTCAAATACAAAAATAACTTGAGCCTGATTCATCAAGAGCTGGTGATCAGGCAGCACATGCAAGAATCGGAACACTAAGCAAGGCTGGCATGCCTAGAGTCCATGACTGTATGACATGGCACAATAATTATTTCAAACTAACTAACTCCATTACTTCCTTACCCTCTTGCAGAACAAAATATTTACCTAAAGGGAAAAATTTAATTAATTACATCTAGCTAGGTGATAAGGGTGAGCCCACTGATTAGTTGACCATCCTTCAGTTATTCTTGGATGGTCACATTGTTGGAGTGAATACTATACTAAGTTGTTGCTCATCCCACTTGCTCATCATATCAAGATAGGATTGAATCATAATTTTAATGTTCCAATTAGTTCTTTCAGAACTTTTTGCCCTAGGCATTCACAGTTATAATGTAGCTAAATTCCTTGTACTCATCTTAAAACCTTTTACTATGAACAAATTTATAATACCTGACTCCTTCCAATTTTCTCGAGAAATCAGTCAACTCCCACCTAAAATATCACGTGATGGCTAACTTTGATATTACTTTCTTTTTACTAATATTCCTCTGGACAAAACCATTAATATTGCACTTTCTAATCTCTTTGGATTTTCTAAGTCTGATTTCAAGTCTATGCTTGGATTCTTTTCTCTTTAACAATACTCTATATGAGCAAATAGATGGTGTTGCTATGGGCTCCCCACTGGGTCCTATTCTGGCCAACATTTTTCTCTATCACCACGAACAGAACTAGATTCACAACTGTCCATTAAGCTTCAAACCTGTTCTCTACAGAAGGTATGTTGATGATACTTTCCCTATTTTCTGCCATATCGATCATATCCAACGTTTTCTTGACTATCTCAGTTCACAACATCCCTCTGTGCACTTCACTCATGAAATTGAGACTAATAACTCTATTCTATTTCTGGACGTTCGTGTTAACCATAATGCTGATGGCTTTTTAACTTCTGTCTATCATAAAAACAATTTACTGGTCTTTTGACTTAGTTTGACAGTTTTATAGCCTTCTATTTGAAATGAAATCTTATTCTCTGTTTACTAAATAAAGCCTACAAACTTACCTCATCCTATTTAGCCCTTCACAAAGAAATTACTTCCGTACAAAACATTTTTTTTTGAAATGGCTACCCTATGTATTTCTTGGAGAAAACAACTTCCTTGTTCCTAACTAATTTGTTTGTCAAACCACCCAAGATACCCACTGTACCCAAACTTCCCTTATACACCCGCTTACCATATCTTGGAAGACAGAACTCCCTAATCAAAAAACAGTTGAAAAGTTATGTAACACTTACTATCCCCAAATTGACCTGAAATTTATTATAAAACCCAATTTCAGACTAAAAAAATCTTTTCTGCTACAAAGATCGTTTGCTGACTGCCCATTGTTCACATATTGTCTACTTATACACGTGCAGAGACTGTAAGGCCTCCTATATTAGTAAAACCAAATGTCACCTTAAAGTATAAGCACATAAACACATGGGCATATCTGGAAAACTGGAAGAAAGGTTACAAACCCTCCAAACTCTGCTATCTATCAGCACAATACAGAAACAGAGCATTCAATTTCTCTCTCAAACTTTAAATTTTTTTTTGAACAGCCAAACATGATACTGAACTTTTTATAAAAGAAACATTATACATAAAAATTATTCTTCCATTGCTAATTAACACAGTCTTCACTGGATTTAAACATATTTTAACTATTTCACTTGTGCCTCACTTTTCATTTTCTTGTGTTATATTTGTATATTCGATTTATTTATTTCTTATGTATATATTTCTGTTGTAATAACAAATATTTTTTGTTTGTTTTGTACCTCTAAATTACTGATAATGGAATTATGACAATTCAAAAATGTTTAATAAATGCTTCCTTTGTTTTATCATTAAGCTATATTTTCCGAAAAATGAGTTGATCATTGTAATTGTTAAAACTGTCAACACTATACCACTAATTTGAGTTCTGATATTACTGAAACATTGATCAGAGTTAATTCCAAAAGTTTTTTTATGTGATAATTTTTCTAAAAACAGTTCAAATTCAGTAAAATAAACTTGAAACTTAAACTAGCTAGAAATACTAAATTTTAAACCATGAGACGGAATTATTTTCTCTATACCAGGAATAGAAATAATAAAATAAAATTACATTCACTTGAGGGAAAGCTATCAGGAAGATTACATTCCCTCATGTACAGTTGCATTTTTTCATGAATTGATTTTTTATTTAATCTATGGAATATGTTCACTTTCATTGGTCGTAACTAAAGCAACATGGATGGACCATGCGTTCTCGATTGGGAAAACCAACTAAAAAGATAAAATTCCTCAAGCAAAGTTAAAATTCCTCGGTAATGGGGGAATATAATATTTCGATCCCTGTATACCATTCAAAACAAACTTAGAAAAATTTATTATTACATTATCAGGTTTTACAAATAGAATTATTTATAACCACCATTGTCAGAATATTTACATGTTCTCTATCTGATAACTGAGACACACTGTCTTCTGTAAGTTTAGGAATAGGCTTTCTAGAAAATACATCAGGTATTACACTGCACTTTCTAGTTCGATAGATCACTGTGAAGTTAAACTCTTGGGGTCTCAAAGTCCATCTTGCTAACTTCTTCATGGAATTTTTCTTAATAAGTTGTCTCATCAATGTAATAGACATCTTTCTATCTGATTATTTTGTATTAATATTTTTCTTTATATAACTTTCTATTTGTATGCAAACTATTTATTTATTATGTGCAAATGTCATATTTTTTCATCTTTAGAATTTTGGCTTAGGTTCTTGTTCATTTTGCGTTTTTATTTCTGAAATACGTATAACTCAAGTATCTTTTCTTTCATCTTTTAGGTGTTTATACATTCATTTCTTTAAAAAAATATCACCATTTTCAATTTTCCTAGAAGTTGTGATTAATAGAGGGTTAGTCACTTTAATTAAGGAAGCAGCCAGTTTCATTACATTTCATTTCATTTGTTAGTAGTGGAACTGTTATCACAGGACAGAGGTTTTTGTGACTGCACAGGCTTCATATAGTCTACATTGAGGAAGTGTGTGCTTAAACTTCTTTTGGTGTCATCTCAGGACAGTCTTTGGGGAACTTTCAATGTTTACTCCTCTAGGAGGATTGCTCCATTGTTTTCTACTCCTTGAAATAATAATTACCATTTTTGTGGTGTAACCCAGCTGGAACAATGAGTTTTGATTTCAAGTATAAGGCTCTATTAGCAAGAAAATTGTAGTGAAATGCTATTATATACCCATCTGACACAACTCTTATTGGAGTAATTAAGAATTGCACTGTTACAATCATGAGTTATTCATTAGTGTAGTTATCCTTAAAAAAATGATTATGCTTCATCTTCACCAGTTTTGGCTTTATATACCATACTTTAGCATCTCATTACGACTTATAGCTGTTTTTTAATAGTTTAGCAATTAATATTGTTTGAGTATGAGATTACTTTGCTGAGTTGTAAGTACATGGTTGAATAGTGAGTTTATAGCAAAAAATAATACCTAAGCATTGAACAATATTTATATATTTTTTGAAGTTGTATCCTCACTTTATTTGTAAAAAACGTTTTCATTTATTTCTAAACATATTTTATAATTTATTATATAATTAAATAACTAGTCAGCTATATTAAACTGTCAGTGATATTTTGTATATTCTAAGTAATAATTCTTATTATTAATTTCAGATGGCTCAGTTCCTGCTAAGTATTGTCCACTCTATGATAAAACTTGTACCAAGGTTCAAACATCCAGTGAAGAAACTCTTAGATTAGATAATAATTTATTTAACTGTCAAAATGATGATATAAGACCAACCCAGAAGCAACAATGAATGTTGTTTACCAACAGCGTATGATAACAGATGAGACATAAAACTTAATATCTGTATTTATAGCCAACAATAAGGGTTTCCACTGAGAAAGTTGGTTGAGGCTAGTGAAACTAAAATACTTAAGAAATAATTCAAAGATTGAGAGTGAATTTGTTTATTAAGTCTTGTAAAATGGTTTTAGAAATGTAGATGAACACAGTATTTGCTTTAGATAGAACTGCTTCCAAGAACAAAAGGATCTAAGAAATTATTGATCAGTTAAACAAAATATTATTTACATTTAACTATATGTAACAATAGTAATAACCTAATTCAAAGACTGTGATAAGAACATAGCATATTTTAAGTTATATTATTTTTGCAGTGCATGGTACTAGAAATACTTCAGTCAATCAGTGTGTATGTTCAGCAGTGCATCAATCCAATAGTACCTTCTATGAACATTTTGTTACTTAATGTGTAATTCATATTGCAACTTGTCAAACTTAGAAGTAATACATACTTAAAACTAAAGCACCAAGTCAATCAACATATATTTATAGCAACTCTTCACCCCATGTTCCTCTTGCATTTGATGATGCTCCCAAGTATGATCAAGAAACTATGACTTTTACCAGTCATTTCTCCACAGACTTTACAGTATCTATCAGTATTTGTATTATTGTGTCTGGTGGTTATTGTCTCAGAGCTGCAAAATACTACACATTACTGGTTCTATGAAAATTTATGATAACTTAGATGTATGTTATTTGATGTAATAAAAGTTCATTATCTTTTGTAAATGTATTAGTTTCAGGAATTACACGTATATGTATATATAAGCATTTGAATATTAGGAACCTGAGAGGCTCAGAAAACAATTAATACAGAACATATTTACCTTCTGAACTTTAGGTATTTCAAACTAATTGGGATCAAGGTTGTTATGAAGAAGATTTTTTGTGCATAAAATACCTTTTGGTAGAGTACTTTGCAGGCTTAGCTCATATTATGCCTGTTTTGCACTTGTAACTGTGGTGATACTTGTCTTCTGTTCTTGTTTAAAAAATAATTAAGATAATTTCTACTGAGTAGTAAGCTTTTTTAAACATGATTCTTAATTGTAACTAATGTAACTCTTACATTATCTCATGTTGTATTATTCCTCATTATGCAGTTGTCAATTATTTTTTTGGTGATTTAGTGCAGTATTGGAACCAAACAAAAAGAGCATCATATTAATAGTTAACAGAACTGGAAGATCAAGCTACACAATTTTATTTAGTAAGTGGAACTGGCTATTTATTCTAATATAACTTTATCCATTAACTTCAAAAAGTTAGTTAAATAAGATGCTTATTTTAGTATATTAAATTGACTCTTAGAGACTAAAACCAAAGCACAACTCTGCAAAGGATAAACAGACATATCAAATTTTAGTGGTAAATAGACTTGGGTACCACATAGTTAAAAAGTCACTTAAAGTTGCTAAAAACAAGGTTATATATATACAAATATGATGCTGTGTTTTGCATCACTGTATTAAGGCCTAGAATTAGCAAACATTTTCCTCTTAACCCTTTCACAGAGGAAAGCGACTACAATCTCTGGAATATTAATTGTTGTTGACATCAGAGATCAAATTTTCCCCACGACCTTTAAAAAATTTTACCTTTTACAGCAGAAAGTGCCAACACTTCACAAGCTAGAATCAACTACCAGACACTGGGTGTGCTGACATCCAGGAGCATGAGCGTGAAACACAAGTATACAGTACTACCTCATTATAACCCATTGGTTATAATGCTTTGTTTCTCAAATATAATGCTGTGGTACCTTGGCTCCCAAAAATTTTGTATCATCTGCTGCTTAGCTCATTGCCACATGGCATCAGAAGCTCTATTACGCTCTATCACAAATGAAGGAAAAAAGCAGGAAATCCTGAGTGCAAAGCCCAGAGATGTGAATATCAAGTTCAGATGTGAACATGATATTGGGATGTTGCAGATTAAGGTTAGAATGGAATTTGGAAATGTGACTCAATTAATGAAATAGCAAGAAAGTGTCATTGATATAGTGCTTGAAGGACAGGTTAAAGTCAATGAGCAATTTTCTAGCCACTTGCATTCATGGTAGCATAGAAAACTATTGGCTGTTGTTGAATCCAGTGGGAATTCCAACTATCTGGTCATAAATTACATCATTAAAGAGGAATTGGTTTAACTTTGTGGATATGACAAGAAGTTCCAAGAATTGTTTACATGTGAAACCCAGATACTGTTTTGTGTCAGAAGGAAATGGTGATGTCATGTCGTTAATTGAAGCAGGTTTAGAGTAGCATTAAGCCTGCTCACTTTTGGCGAGATTTTAAATTATCCAATTAAAATGCTATTTGCTTTTAAAATATCTGTTTTAGCCAATTACATTCTTTCTCCTGAAAACCACTTGTCTCTACCATATCAATATAAGATAATCAGCTCATTACGCATTCTTAGAATTTACACCAAAAAGAGATAAAACACATTTAAAAAATTCAAAATGTTCACACTTACTGGCATGTCACCAGTATCGAGGAAGACGAAAGCCCATTGAATTGCTAAGAAACTTTTAGTAATTGATGAAATGCTAAAAAGAAGCAAGAGTTCTGTATCAAAAGAATTAGGGATAGCTCGATCAATGTTCAGGGTGCGGTTGAAAGACAAAGAAAAGCTTCGCATTTTTTCATGCAAAATAGATGAAGTAAATTCTTCAAGCACAAGCAAAGAAAT